TGGCTCTGTGCAGTTTTGTTCCATTTATGGGTGCATGTAACTACCGAGACACAGATCATCCCATCGCCACAAGGGAACCTCTTCATGCAGCCCCTTTATAGTTGTAACTGTCTTCCCTTTCTCCTATCACCTGACAATACCTAGCCTGTTCTCCATCTCTATGGTTTTGTCAGTTCAGAAATGTTATTTGTTTCCTTTTAATTGAATGTGAAAGCCTTTGGAGGGCAGTCTTCCATTTACTTTAGGCCTCACCCTTGTCTGTTTTCTCCCAACTGATGACAGTCTGCAGACAGTTGGATTGCCTGCCAGGCACTTGTTGGCATTGGCGGTCGCTACCTTGCCCGGTTGTTAATTAGACCCTGGTTTCTCAGTGGACACTTGGTTAATGCCTCTTCCCCAGGCTGGCGGCTATGGCTTCAGACCCCCTCCTCTCCCTGCCTCACCCTGTAGATGCAGGCCCTGACTTCCTGTGAGTGCACCATCTGTCCTGACTGCTTCCGCCAGCACTTCACCATCGCCTTGAAGGAGAAGCACATCACAGACATGGTGTGCCCCGCCTGTGGCCGCCCCGATCTCACCGATGACACACAGTTGCTCAGCTACTTCTCTACCCTGGACATCCAGGTACTGCAGTCCCTAGTACTTGGGGTGCCCTGGGCTTTGAACAGGAACCCTGCTCATCCACCACTTCTGCATCCTGTCCTCAGCTTCGGGAGAGCCTGGAGCCTGACGCCTATGCGCTGTTTCACAAGAAGCTGACTGAGGGTGTGCTCATGCGAGACCCCAAGTTCTTGTGGTGTGCCCAAGTAAGTGGCCTCTCCAGAGGAGCCGACTGGAGGGCTGGGCTAGGCCAGGGGGCCAGTTCCCCTGAGATAGCTTTGTGCTCTTGCACCCACAGTGCTCCTTTGGCTTCATATATGAACGAGAGCAGCTGGAGGCAACATGTCCCCAGTGTCACCAGACCTTCTGTGTGCGCTGTAAGCGCCAGGTGAGGCACATTCATCCTTTCAGAAATAACTTGCTAAAGCCGCTAGCAGGTACTATGTCAGATTTGGGTTGTGCTGAAGCACAGAACAGACCTGAACTCTGGGCTCAAAGAGCTTGTAGACTCCAGGAAAGGAGGGAGGGAGGCTGAGGGGGAGAGGCAGTGAAAGGTAAGGTAAAAGAAGAAGGAAGGGAGAGAGGTGGAGGGAGGGAGACAGCATAAGAACACGTGGCATAAGTTCTACAAAGAAAACACAGGTGGGGCGCCTGGGTGGCTAGTTGGTTGAGCATCCAACTTCAGCTCAGGTCATGCTCTCATGGTTTGCAAGTTCAAGCCCCACATCAAGCTCTGTGCTGACAAAGAGCTCAGAGTCTGGACCTTGCCTCAGATTCTTTCTCTCCTTCTCCCTCTGCCCCTCCCCTACTAATGCTCTGTGTCTCAAAAGTAAATAAATGTTAAAAAAATAAAAAATAAAAAAAAAAGAGAGAGAGAGAACAGGAATCTGAGATTAGGAATGGAATGGACCTACTTAGGATAGAGAGGTCAGTCAAGTCTTCTCTAAAATTCAGGTTTAATTTAAGCTCAGGCCTGAAGTTAAGAAGCCAGCTATGCAAAGGATATTCAGGACAAAAAGAACAACACATGAAAAGGCGAAAGTTCTAAGTGTTGTGTGGCTGGAGCCTCACGAGCAAGGGTGAAAGTGGCAGGCAGCTGGAGAGGAGCTAGCTGCCACATCAGGAGAGGCCGTGGGGCCAAGCGAGGAAGGTATTTGCCTTTTATTCTAAGACTAAGCTAGGGGTGATACTCTCTCATTTACCTTTTAGAAAGTTTAATATCTGCAAAAAAAAAAAAACTTAATATTTGAGTGCTCACTTTGGCAGCATGTATTCTAAAATGTGTAATAGTTGATACCAAAAAGTTATATCTCTATTACAAAACATAGTAATAAAATGAACACTTGAGACCCTACCACTAAACCTCAAAACTAGAACGCTCCAACAAAACCCCAGACTACACATGCCCACACCCACACCCCTAGAACACTCCACTACTGTTGAAGCTGCCTGCCTTACACTCTTAAAGGCATTTTGGCTGCAGGGTAGAGCACACACCATAGGGGATCAGGAATGGAGGAAGAGAGACCAGTAACTGAGGCAATACCTGCCCTGCCCCGGAGTAGAATGGCCACAGTAGAGGTGAAGAAAAAATGGGACACGATTGAGATAGGCCTGGGTGGTGGAAATAAGACCTGCCGGTGAGCATGTGCTGGTACAAGGAGGCCAGAGAACCAAGGCTGGCCCTTTGGTTGGAGATGGGAGCAAATGGTGAAAGGCAGTGCCATAAACTAAGCCAGGGACGGAGAGGAGCGGTGGCCCTCAAGAAGGGCCTGGGGTGTTTTCATGTGAAGCTTGCTTTCCCTCCTGCAGTGGGAGGAGCAGCACCGCGGCCGGAGCTGTGAGGATTTCCAGAACTGGAAACGTACCAATGACCCAGAGTATCAGGCGCAGGGCCTGGCCATGTATCTTCAGGAGAACGGCATTGGTAAGGTTGTCCTGCTAGGCCCGTTTGCCCAGTTATTTGTCACTGCTAGCGGCTCTCTTCCTGAGGGCCTTGAGGAGCAGTGACAGCCCCCTCCCTGACCTGCTGTCCCTTACAGATTGCCCCAAGTGCAAGTTCTCATACGCATTGGCCCGAGGAGGCTGCATGCACTTTCACTGCACCCAGTGCCGCCACCAGTTCTGCAGTGGCTGCTACAATGCCTTTTACGCCAAAAATGTGAGCCCAGAGAACGGGGATGGAAGGGATAGAAGGGTGGGGGGCTGCCACTGTGTGTGACGGGCAAAGACATTGAGGAGCAGCCTAGGGGAAGAGAAGAGGAAGCCAATGGGGTGTAAAGCACCTCTCTCTGTCCCCTCTCCCCTTTTGCTTGCTCCAGACCCTCCAATGTCTCCATCTTCCCCCATCCCTATACCCCTCATGCAGGGCTTCTGAGAAGCCAGCACCCCAACTGTCTCCAACTTCCCCTCTCCCATCTGGGTTTCTGCCAGAAATGTCCAGACCCTAACTGCAGGGTGAAAAAGTCCCTGCATGGCCACCACCCACGAGACTGCCTCTTCTACCTGCGGGACTGGACTGCTCTCCGGCTCCAGAAGCTGCTACAGGTCAGGGGTGGCCAGCCTGGCTGGGTTTGCAGGTTGCCCAGGGTAGGAGACAGGGCCCAGGGTGGCAAGAAAGGAAAAGGCTCTGTGCTGGGGAATTCAGCAGGCTGGCATCAAGAGCATCCTAACGCCTATCCGTCTGCCCCTCCTCAGGACAATAATGTCATGTTCAACACAGAGCCCCCAGCAGGAGCCCGGGCAGTTCCTGGTGGTGAGTGTCAGGACAAGCCTTGGAGGAAGGGTGAGGGTAGGCTGGATTTCCATTGTATGGTGGATAAAAGGGAGGCTTGGGTCTGTGGTCAGAGCCCATCCTGTGCTCACTTGTGTGCTTCTTGGCGAGTTAACCTCTCTGGGCCTCATTTCTTCCTCTGTGACGTGGGAGTAATATCTCCTTTGCAGCTAAGCTATTTTACATGAGGGCCCTTTCAAGCACCTGGCAGTTGATACTAGCTTTCTTCTCGCATTCCTAAAGAATAATGATTCATTAGTTAACTCCAGGAGTGTTTAATGAACTTGCTAGTTGCACTGTTTCAGGTTCCATGAGGGCAACAGAAAGATGATCCATATGGTTCTAACCTACCCCACCTTTTATTACCATAAAGTAAGACCTTCACAGACCAAGTTAAGCAGGCAAGAGTTAAAATCACAACCAGAAGAGTTGTCCCAAGACAGTATGTGATAATAAAAAGAGAGAGAGTATGTGATTATGGACCAGAAGCAAGCTTAGATAAAAGCAGGGCCAGCAAGGCCCCTGCTTCTGTTATCAGACTTGGTCTGCCGCCATGGTATCTCTAAGCAACCCCCCCCCCCACCACTGTTAAAGCAGTCCCCTTCCCAGAGGCTGCCTTCCCAGGCCTGCATTGATACCCCAGTTCTCCCAGGGCTTTGTGGTCAGTGACCTCCTCCCAACAAAAGGGTCCCTTCCTTCTGTTACCCTTAGGTGGCTGCCGAGTGATGGAGCAGAAGGAGGTTCCTAATGGGTTCCGGGATGAAGCCTGTGGCAAGGAGACCCCAGCTGGCCACGCTGGCCTCTGTCAGTGAGTGTCAGCAGGAGCACAGTGTTGGGAGGGGGAGCAGGAGGGCTGAGGATATGCACGGGTAGTAAAGGAGGTCTCTGGGAGTAGTAGGTCCTGCAGGGAAAGTGAGGGAAGGGCCCTCTGGGCAAAGACATGGCCAGGTAATAGCAGGCAGTGTGCACAGGGGGACAGTGCCTATGAGTGCAGCTGGCAAGGGTTGTCAGTCTTGTTCATCTGAGTATGCCAGCGGCCACCAAGGTGATGGGCACACTCAGTTAATATTAGCCAAACGGAAGAACAGATACTCCACCCTCTCATCTCCCCAGGGCACACTACAAAGAGTATCTCGTGAGCCTCATCAATGCCCACTCACTGGACCCAGCCACCTTGTATGAGGTGGAGGAGCTGGAGACGGCTGCTGAGCGCTACCTGCATGTACGCCCTCAGCCAGTGGCAGGGGAGGAGGCCCCCGCCTACCACGCCCGCCTGTTACAGGTAAGGCTTCCCCGCCAGCCTCGCCTCTGACCCCACACTCTAGAAGTCCCCTGTCCAGCTTGTGTCTGAGTTCTAAATTTCTGGATCGTCTCTCTCTCCTTCTGCAGAAGCTGATGGAAGAGGTGCCCCTGGGACAAAGTATCCCTCGCAGGAGGAAGTAGCTGAGGGCAAGGATCCTCATGAGGGTCTCATGGCCCAACCTCCTCAGGAACAGCTCCAGCACCAATAAAGAGGCATCTCCTTGCCAGGCTTCTTGGTGGTCCTTCTTCCTGGCCCCACCATCTGGGGCACCAGGGAAAGGGGGGTGAACACAGCTTTGCTGAAAGGGTCACCTGCAGCCTACCCACTGACCATTCTTGGACTCAGGGCTAGGAAGAAATTGACACCATAGATGGCCAAGGAGGCCCTCTCCCCAGCCAGCCCCTTGGCCTGGGCTTTCTCCTCCCCTGCCTCCTTTATTCTTTCATCTAATTCCCTTGATATTTGAGGTCACCTAATAGACACCAAGCAGGCCCGATGGGGGAACGCAGATGCACTGGTGGCACATGGCTAGCCGCAGCCTTCAGGACAGAGTCCAGGACACTGGCCTCCCTAGGAAGCAGCGGTGTCACAGAAATCAGAGTATCTAAGGGAGGAGGGGAGTGAGCCTGAGCGGGGAGGGGGCCCTCTTGTGTCCGACAGCGGGATTCCATCAGTGCGGTTCTCAGATGCTGCTTCCCCCTGCCGGTAGGCAGTTGCCCTGCAGCTCAGACCACGTGATTTCTGAGAATAGGCCCTTCCTGGAGGAGAACTGAAACTTAGGGTGGGGACTGTAAAAAGGGGCGGAGAGATCAGGAAGCTGCCTAGAAGGCTGCTGAGCTGAGGTCAGCTGGGTCCTGGGACGTCCAGCAAACCACTCAGGTAAGAAAAGCGAAGATTCGGATGTCAGCTTGGGTCTAGAGCTGGAAAGCCCGGCCAGATTGGAGGGGGTGGGGGGTCCCGGCGCCCCTCTTCCAAACAGAAATATACAGACCGCCTGTGAGCCAGGGCATAGGAGATTTGGCCTGAGTGAGAGAGTAACCCGGGGCCAGTGTCCCCAGCCCTATAGGCAAAGAGCAGGACCCGACTACTGTGGGTCGTTCAGGGAAGAAGTCTCAGCCCCGGCTACAGCCGACCCTGTTTGTTTTCTTGCTTTCTGGCCCTGCCCACTTCCGCTGCTGTCCTGCCCCACCTACCCCAGAAGCAAGAGGAGGGGAAGAATGGGGTCAAAGGATAGGTTGTGGGGGTGACGGGTGAGGGATCAACGAAGCATCTCAGAAACAGTTACCGGCCCCACAGATGCAGAGACAGGGCCTCTCTCCCCAGGAACCGCACCAAGGGAGTTCCCTTTAGACAACAGATTCCTGTAAAGTCCTAAAACTACGACCAATGCCTAAGGTTTCCTTCCAGTTGTCACAGCTTGGGGTGTTAGAAAGGGTATGTTTTTTGGTTACTAGTGATGGTAGAAAGAAACGGTTCAGCCTCAGAATTGTGAGAAAAGGCTATACGCAAAAAGTGGATGGGGTCTCTGGGGGCCCTTGCCAGAATCCAACCCCAGCAGTCAGGATCTCAGCAGAGGTTCCCTCCCAAGTGTCACTTCCACTGACGCTGCCTGCTGCTCTTGTCCTCAGGATGTCGTCGGGCCGGGCCCGCTGCACCCGGAAGCTGCGGAACTGGGTGGTGGAGCAGGTGGAGAGCGGGCAGTTCCCGGGGGTGTGCTGGGACGATGCAGCCAAGACCATGTTCCGGATTCCCTGGAAGCATGCAGGCAAGCAGGACTTCCGGGAGGACCAGGATGCCGCTTTCTTCAAGGTGAAAGGGCCTGGAAACCAGCCCCTCGAGGGGTGGAGTAGACCCTAAAGCTCTCACCTTCAAGGGCTCGAGTCTGCCTAGGTTTCAGATACAGGGGCGATGGGAGGGTAGAGCCAGCTGCATAACTGAGTCAGCCTGATACAAAATGAAAATTCAAAACTTGTTAGGGATTTCAAGACAGCAGCAGCAGAGCGTGAACCTGGGCACTGGGCCTCCGTGCAGGTGCTCAGGCTGCAGGTCCCTGTAGCTGGCTGTAGGACAGGGTCAGCCGGGCTGTGTAACGTGCTGTCTCTCTACTTCCTGTGTTTTGCAGGCATGGGCGATATTTAAGGGGAAGTACAAGGAGGGGGACACGGAGGGCCCTGCTATCTGGAAGACTCGGCTGCGCTGTGCCCTCAACAAGAGTCCTGAATTTGAGGAGGTTCCCGAGAATGGCCATAGGGATGGAGCTGAGCCCTACAAGGTGTATCGACTGCTGCCGTCGGGGACCCTTCCTGGTGGGTGTCCCCTTGCCCAGCCACTCCTAGAATCAGCAGACGTATACAGGGGGAGGATGGAGATTGGAGGTTTCTGGGAGGGTGGTGGGCCTCCCTCCAGGCCCCTCAGTCAGAGTTCTGCCTGTCCCTTGGGCACTCCCACCCACGTTCCCCTGCGTGGTTCTGCATGTCGTTTTGCTGTCACTTGTCTCTCCGCTACCTTCTGTTCCCACTTAAGGCTCTGACCTTTCTCCCCCTCCACCTTATTCCACAGCCCAGCCAGGGCCCCAGAAATCACCATCAAAGCGGCATTACAGTTCTGTGTCCTCTGAGAGGGAAGAGGATGTGGGTGCCACAGAGAACTGCACACTCAGTCCCTCCTTGATTGAGGACCCCCTCAAAAATGTAAGAGCTGGGGGAGGGAATGTGCTGGGCCTGAGGGCAGGACAGTACCTAGGGGAGAGACTGGCCAACGATAGACACTGTGTTTGCAGGAGGATGTGGGGACCAGTGGGGAAGCAAGCCATTCAGACTCTGGGGGGAGCAGCGGCAGCAGCAACAATAGCCCTGAGCCTCAGGAAGGTACCGCCTCCCCTGCCTCTGTGTTGTTCCCCCTAGCCACTCCCTCTGGCCCTTGGATTCTGCAGTCCCCATCTGAATGTCATGCCTCTGCTTCCCTTATAGGTACAGACACAACTCAAGCCCCTTTCCAAGGAGATCAGGTGTCATTGGAGCTTCTGCCCCCTCCAAACTCAGGTATGTGTTGTCTGACTCCTCTCTGCTCTGTCCCCGCAGGTGGTCTCCCTGTAGCTACGCATGCGTTATCAAATATGTCAGGGCTTGCAGGAAATTGGGCCCACCTTATCCAGACAGAGGCATTGCTTTCTCGGTAGGAAACCTGGCCAGACTCTAGACTTCCAATAGCTCACTTCTCAAAAATACTCTTTGTGTTCTCTCTCTCTCTCTCTCTCTGCCTCTCTCAAAATGAATATGTAAACTTTAACAACAACAAAAAAGGCAGAGGTGGGGGTAGCACCTGGGTGGGTGGCTCAGGTGGTTAAGTGTCCACTCTTTGGTTTTGGCTCAAGTCATGATCTCACGGTTTGTGGTATTGAGCCTGGCATTGGGCCCTGAGCTGAGAGTGTGGAGCCTGCTTGGGATTCTATGTGCCCCCTCCCCCCCAAAATGAATAAACTTTTTAAAAGTACTTCCTATACACTCTGTTCCCTGGAAATTCACTTTGAGACATTCATTCCTATGGGTCAAGCAGAGGCCTAGTCTCCGGGCTTTTTTTTTTTTTTTAATGTTTATTTATTTTTGAGACAGAGAGAGTAAGTAGAGAAGGAGTAGAGAGAGGGAGAAACAGCATCTGAAGCAGGCTCCGGGCTTTGAGCTGTCAGCATAGAGCCAGACCTGGGGCTCAAACTCCTGAACCGTGAGATCATGACCTGAGCCGAAGTCGGAAGCTTAACTGACTGAGCCAACCAGGTGCCCCTCCGGGCTTTCTTATAAACTGTAAGACCCTGGGCATTAAGCCCTGAGGCCTCAGTGGGCATTTGTGTATTAGCTACTCTCGTGGGTGATGGCAAAGTCTCACAGGATGCCCCCTGGCTGGTGAGGCTGGTGGCAGATGAGGAGGAGGTGCCTTCTCTAACCACAGAAGGTCAGACTGCTACCTCTGCCCTTGCTAGTTTTCCCTCTGGTTCCCACGTTTCTCATGGGCAAAATGAGGATGTGGGATTTGCCAGGAGCCCCTCCTCGTTCCCCAGAGCCTGGTGCTGGCTGGGTGGACCCCTGGGGTGAAGCTCAGGTGCAGCTGGCCGTTCTCTGTTCGCAGACTACTCGCTGCTGCTTACCTTCATCTACAGCGGGCGCGTGGTGGGCGAGGCCCAGGTGCAGAGCCTGGACTGCCGCCTTGTGGCTGAGCCCTCAGGCTCCCAGTGCGGGATGGAGCAGGTGGTGTTTCCCAAGCCTGACCCACGAGAGCCCACCCAGCGCCTGCTGAGCCAGATCGAGAGAGGAGTCCTGGTAGCCAGCAACTCCAGGGGCCTCTTCGTGCAGCGCCTCTGCCCCGTCCCCATCTCCTGGAACGCGCCCCAGGCGCCACCCGGCCCAGGCCCGCATCTGCTGCCCAGCAATGAGTGCGTGGAGCTCTTCAGAACCACCTACTTCTGCAGAGGTGAGGCTGTTCCAGTTAAGCTGAGCCCCTGCCCCCCCCCCCACCTCTTAGTACCCGCCTTGGGACCTCGTAGGCTCTGCCACCACCCTGTGTTCCTTCCAGGAGATCCTTGGTCACAGCCCATGCATGGCACCCTGCACTTGCGCGGTGCACATCCCGTGGGGCCTTGTGCTCAGCCCTGGCAGCTGTCTGGCAGCCGGGCGTCCCCAGCCAAGGCCTCGGAGATGAGGCTTGGAGGCGGCTCAGCACATGAGTCACGTGTCGGGGACTGCCACCGCATGGCAGCCTGCAGTAACGGGAAGGGCACCTCGAGGCCCTGTGCTGCATACACACCTGCATGCGGGCCAGGCCCGTACTTGGGAGAGCTTGCACACCTTCCACACACCACCCCTGCTGCACCCTGGGCACCTCCTCGGGCTGTCCTTCTCCCTTTCACCCCTGGGATCCCACTTCCTGCCTCTATTCACCTCTAAATCTCACCTGGGGAGTAGAGGCCAGGAGCATAGGGGAAGCAGAGTGGGAGTGTCCCAAAGCCTGGGTGCCCCCCGCAGGGAGGGTGCGAACAGACAGTAGAAGTGGGGGCACCTCTGTGTTAGCAGCCCAGGCTGCTGCCGCAAGGACTCTAAGCTCTTCCAGCAGAGAGCTTGGCAGGTTGTGTAAAAATCGGTTACCTCCTGGGGCCCCTGGGTGGCTCAGTCGGTTGAGCATCCGACTTCGGCTCAGGTCCTGATCTCATGGTTTGTGAGTTTGAACTCCACATTAGGCTCTGTGCTGACAGCTCAGAGCCTGGAGACTATTTCAGATTCTGTGTTTCCTTCTCTCTCTGCCCCTCCCCTGGCTCACAGTCTGTCTCTCAAAAATAAATAAACATTTAAAAAATCAGTTACCACTAAATCCGTCTTACTTGAAAAAGGGACACCTTTTCCTATTTGCACGTGGGTGAGTAGCAGCTTCGTTGCTGGCATCTCTCCTGGTGCGAGGCAGTAGCCATGAGCCTGCAGCTCCCACTCTGGCCTTGGTCTCCAATTGGCCCCATACCCACCCCTCTTTCTCCATGATGGGCCCCTCTCTATTCCCTCCCTGCCTGTGGCCTCTGTCTTCCTTCTTCCAACCCTTGATCCTTTCTCTTTCATCAGACCTGGTCAGGTACTTCCGGGGCCTTGGCCCCCCACCCAAGTTCCAGGTGACACTGAACTTCTGGGAGGAGAGCCCTGGCCCCAGCCACACCCCAAAGAGTCTTATCACAGTACAGGTGAGTTCAGGGCAAGGGAAGACGAGCCTGCCTGTGTGAGTGGGTGTGGGGGGTTCCAGGAGGAGAAGGGCCTTCGGTTGGCGGGGAGGAACTCTGGGGGTCTGTCTGCCCCAGCTGTGCTCCTGATAATCTCTCCCCCACCTTTCCTGGCCCAGATGGAGCAGGCCTTTGCCCGACACTTACTGGAGACCCCCGAGGAGCAGGCAGCCGCCCTCGCCCTGCTGCAGAGCCTGGGAGACCCACCTTCCTCCTCTCCTCTCTGCTCCTCCTATTTCCTTTGAAAGAAACTCCTTCTCTACACCATTGACCTGCCTCCCTCCATGATAATTCTTGGTGGTGGTTTGATGGTTGTGTCCTTGAACTGCTCACGTACATGGCTGGTAGAGCACTGAAGGAGGATTTTTATCCTTTTGTTTTAAGTTTGAGACATACCCTCTTTCATTTCTGAGAAACTGAATTGGGAAAGTCCAAATGGTGTGAACTCAGGGGACCTTTCCCGCTTCCCCCAAGCCTAAAGCCAAGCACTTTATATTTTCTTCTTAGATGTTCCCTGGGGATTTAAAATAAAACTTTATTAAAAGAGGAGTGAGTATCTGCTTTGTTGGGATGAAAAGGTAGGTAGCAGGGGTCACAGGGAAGTGATAGAGATGTAACTTCAGAGCGGGCTACTTGGCTTTTCTTCCTGCTGACTTCTCCAGGCCCCTTTGCCCTCCTCCACCCGCAGCTTCTGGCTAGGAAGCTGTCTGGCCTCTGCGGGTGCTGGGTTTGGGGAGAGGTTGAGGTTAGCCACCCAGAAGAACACAGCCTACAGCTGCTATAGCCGCCAACTTCACATGGAAAAATCTGGGCTCCACGGTTCTTGGCTAGAGGCCTCTGATTCGGGCCTTACCACGGGCTCCGGGTTGGACTCTGGCTGAAGGTCTAAATGAACAGGAGAACTTGAAGTTGACATCAAACTATGGGTGAGAGGTGCTGGGGCCTGGGAGGGGAGGGGACATCAGAGGGAAGAAAGCGCTTCTGCACCTCCTGTGCTGAGGGCAGACGAGGCCCTGGTATCTCTTCTCCCAGATCACAGGGCACTGTCGCCCCAGCAGAAGGGGACTCCAAACTGGTTTCCTCACTCTACCTAACCTCCACCAAGGACCATGGGGCCTAGCCTGCCGTGTCACCAACAATGCGTTCACTGAGCTTTGAGGGCTCTAAAGCAACTGACATTCCTGTCCCATTTCCCCTTTTGTATTTTGCCACCAAACTGGAAGTTCCTCTTTCACAGGCCACTTGTCGTCTTACCTCTCCATTCACATCCAGCAGACTAGTTCAGACGTAAGTCCCCACTTAACCAGCTGCCACAGCATGGAGCTTCCCTGTTCCTATAAATGACACCAGCCTGGTGGAAGAGGAGCCTCCCAGACCAGACTGTCCTGTCCTGTCGCTCTTATAAGTCTTCCTGGGCTCACCTCCATGATCAAGCCTAGATGCCTAGATGCTCAAGGATCTTCTTGCTGTCTCACGTGACAAACGTCAGTGCTGCTTCTGAGCCTTTCTGCCTCCTTGGACCTTCTCTTCAGTCTTGCCCATCCTCCTCCTGAGAAGCCAAGAGCCCAAACAGGCATCTGCATTAGCAGGGAAGAAAGCAGGTACTGGGGGCACAGGTACACGAGCCCTTTTGTGCCCTTGATTTGCTAAAAGCCCTCCTGGCCTTTCTGCTTTGCCCTTGCTACCTCCTCGACTTCCATTTTCTTTCCTTTCAATTTTAACTTTCAGTATAGTTAACATACAATGTTAAATTAGTTTCAGGGGTACAATATAGTGATTCAACAGTGCTATCCCTCACTCAGTGCTCATTGTGATAAGCACTTAACCTTAACCGTAACCTAGTTCACCCAACCCCCCCACCCCCCCCACTCACCGCCTCTCTGGGAACCATCTGTTCTCTATGGTTAAGAATCTGGGTTTTTTTTTTTCCCTCTTTGTTCATTTGTTTTGCGTCTTATAATTCCACATATGAGTGAAATCAAATGATATTTGCCTTTCTCTGATTTATTTCACTTAGCATATACTCTAGATCCACATGTGTTGTTGCAAATGGCAAGATTTCATTGTTTTTTATGAATGAATAATATTACAACGTATATGTATACGCTTTCTTTATCCATTCGTCTATCGATGGGCACCTAGTCTGCTTCCGTATCTTGGCTATTGTAAATAATGCTACAATAAACATAGGGGTGCATATATCCTTTTGAATTCATGCTTTCGTATTTGGATAAATTCCCAGTAGAGGAATTACTGGATCATATAGTGGTTCTATTTTTAATTTATTAAGGAACTTCCAGACTGTTTTCCACAGTAGCTGCATGAGTTTGCATTGTCACCGGCAGGGCACAATGGGTTCCTTTTCCTCTATATCCTTTCCTTGTTTCTTGTGTTCTTGATTTTAGCATTACTGACAAATGTGAGGTGAGATCTCATTGTGGTTTTGATACACATTTTCCTGATGATGAGTGATGCTGAGCATCTTTTCACGTATTCGTTGGCCACCTAGATGTCTTCTCTGGAGAAATGTCTATTCATGTCTTCTATTTTTTTAACTGGATTATTTTTTTGTTGTTGAGTTGTATCAGCTCTTTATATATTTTGGATACTAACCCTTTATCAGATATTTCATTTTTGTCTCCATGTATTTTTTAAAATTTCCTTTTTGATCTCTTGGTCAACCCATTCATTGCTTAGTAGCGTGTTATTTAATGTCCATGTATCTGTGATCTTTCCAGATTTTTCCTTGTGGTTGGTGTCTAGTTTCATAGTGTTGTTTTAGAAAAGATGCATGGTATGACTTTGATCTTTTTGAATTTGTTGAGACTTGTCTTGTGGCCTAATATGTGATCTATTCTGGAGAATGTTCTGTGTCACCTGAAAAGAATGTATTCTGCTGTTTTAGGATGGAATACTCTGAATGTATCCGTTAAATCCATCTGATCCAATGTGTCATTCAAAGCCACTGTTTTCTTACTGATTTTCTGTTTAGATGATCTGTCCATTGATGTGAGGGCTAAAGTCCCCTACTATTATTATATTACTATTGATCACTTTGTTTATGTTTGTTATTAACTGCTTTCTGCATTTGGGTGCTTCCATGCCAGGTGTGTAAATATTTACAGTTGTTATATCTTCTGGTTGGATTATCTCGTTTATGATTATATAGCATCTTCTTACATTTTCTGTCATGCCCCGCATCCAGTCCGTCAGCAGATCCCGTCAGTGTTTCTTTAGAATTTATCCAGAATCTGACCGTTTCTCTCTGTTTCTACCACTAACACTTTTTAAAAAATGTTTATTTTTGAGAGAGAATAAGAGTACAGGGGAGGAACAGAGAAGGAGAGAGAGAATCCCAATTAGGGCTGGAACTCACAGAACTGTGGGATCATGACCTGAGCTGAAATCAAGAGTCAGACAATGGGGCACTTGGGTGGGTCAGCCGGTTAAGCATCCAACTTTGGCTCAGGTCATAATTCACATTTGTGAGTTTGAGCCCCTCATCAGGCTCTGTGATGACAGCTCAGAGCCTGGAGCCTGCTTCGGATTCTGTGTCTCCCTGTGTCTCTGCCCTTCCCCTGCTCGTGCTCTCTCTCTCTCTCAAAAGTAAATAAACATTAAAAAATTTTAAGTGTCAGATGCTTAACTGAGCCACCCAGACGCCCTTACCACTGACACTTTGGAACAAGCTACACCTCTTTCTGCTTCCTTCGACATCTTTTCTCCTTCTACTCTTGTCCACCTTTAGCCTATTCCCAAAACAATAGAGATCCTCTTAACGCAAATGTCATCATGTCATTCCTCTGCTCAAAACCCTTCATTCGTTCTTAACTCATTCAGAGTAAAAGCCCAGATCCTTACAGTGGGTCTCCAAGGCCCTTGTGATGTGGCTCCTATCCTCCTTTCTTTTCTTTTTTTTTTTTTTTTAATTCTAGGAGAGAGAGAGAGAGACACCGTGAGCAGGGGAGGGTCAGAGAGAGAGGGAGTCACAGACTCCGAAACAGGCTCCAGGCTCTGAGCCGGCAGTCAGCACAGAGCCCGATGCGGGGCTCGAACCCACGAACCACGAGATCATGACCTAAGCGAAAGTCGGACGCTTAACCGCCCCATCCTCCTTTCTAACCTCACCCCTTGCCCTTCTAGGCTCCTTGAACCCACCACATTTCTGCCTTAGGACCTTTGCACTTACTGGTTCTTTTGTCTAAAATATTCTTCCTTTAGGTAGGTGCATGTTGCCTCCTCTCTTCAGAGAGGGCTTCCCCAAGCACTCTACCTAAATAGCAGCCCTCACTACTCTCTAGTCTCCTGTGGCCTTATTCTCATAACAGTGATCACCATTTCACATATTTCTGTTTGTCTCCTTGCGGGTCATCTCTCCTTCCCTAATGCATTAGAACAGGGACTTGTTTTGTTCACTGCTCTGTCTCCAGTGCCTGAAGGAGTGTGTGGCGTGTAGTTAGGCATCTCATAAATACTTGTTGAAAAGAGGGATGGATGGACAAATTACTCTATTGCTTATCTCCTAAACTACATTCTGAGTACCTTAAAGGTAGATGCCCCCCGCCTTATCTCTGTGCTCCAGTGTGAACTTATAAAGACTGACCACATATGTACAGTGACTGAAACAATTTGTATTATGTAGAAACCGACTTAACCAAGCACAAGTTGACTAGGTACTAGAAATGCTAGAATTCAAGAGAGCAGAGTTCCCAACCAGGCTGTGTCATTAAGGAGCTGTGTGGTCTGGGAAAACCGGTCTTATATGGGCCTCTATTTTCTCATCTGAAAGGCAAGTTTTAGACTAGATTTTGAAATCCCTGTCAGCCTTGACTTTCTGTGGTTGTAAATTAGGGTAGGTAATTGCATATTCACTTGACAAATGTTTACTGAGCTGGGTTCCAGGAACTAGTTGGGGGTAAAACAAAACAAAACTTAATCTTTTTTTTTTAATGTTTTATTTATTTTTGAGAGAGAGAGCACGAGCAGGGACGGGTCACAGAGAGAGGGAGACACAGAATCCGAAGACAGGCTCCAGGCTCTGAGCTGTTAGCAGAGAGCCTGATGCGGGGCTCGAACCCATGAACTGTGTGATCATGACCTGAGCCGAAGCTGGACGCTTAACCAACTGAGCCACCCAGCCGCCCGCCCCCCCCCCCCAAAAAACCCTCAATCTTAAGAGATCCCAGACTGAAGGAACAAAACAAAATAGGGTCAGTTCAGCGACAATAAGAGACTGAGTGTTAAAGATGCAGGAGCATGCCCTGGAGAAGGGCATTCTAGGCCAAAGAAACTGCTGTACAAAGGCAGGAGGCTTGGAGACAAAGAATTGTTTGAGCCAAATGGCTTTTGTATGCAGAGAGGTATGCCCTACAGCCCACAAGAGCTGAAATCTATTTCAGCCAGGGGAACGTTCACAACGGGAAAACAGCCAGATGGGGCAGGCCCACCGCCTAAACTGTTCAAATTCAGGAAAAGATCCAGCAAGTTCTCTCAGGGCTTCCTGTGAGATCTGACTTCTTCCTCATCGATGTGCTGCGTCTCCAAGGCCACTCATGCCGTTTCCACCTCCCCAGCTCACGACAGGCCCAAGCCTGAGCACAAAAGGCAGGCCAGTTTTTGGTATTTTTGTTGGTACCTGGTGGGATTTGGGGGGAAGGGCAAGGTCTAGCCGCAGGTCACGCGCCCAGAACAGGGCAGGACAGCTGCCCCTGGAATGACCCGGCTGACTTTAGTAGTCGAAGTGCCCTTGTTACCAAACTTGCTGAGGGGGCGAGGCGAGGACTTGCTCCACGCTCATTGGTCGGCAGAGAAGCGCCACCGAGGAACCCTTGTTGCCAGAGGCCAGAACGAGAGCCCATTGGTCAGGACACCTCACAATGGCCCCGCCAGCGCACAGGATTCTTCCGATTGGTTCGCCGCGTGCCTCGGGAGACCCTTGTTGCCTCGACCTCGGGCAGGCTGCCTCGTGCCCTGGAACGAGTGCTCCCTAGCCCACCCCCGTTCCCCATTGGCTCTCGTGGGGGCTGCCGCCATCTAATGACGAGGGAGGCGCAAAGCACCCGCGGGCGCGCTCCTTGCGGCAGGATCTAGTCCCGCGCGAGGGCGACCCCGCCGGGACTACGGGACTACAGGTGCGGAAGCTGAGTGAAAGGCCCAGGCGCCCGGCACCCCTGCGGAGGACCCCGTTCTCCCTCCTCCGGGGCTGGTCTGGAGCCCAGCCCGTCGTACCCTTGGGGAACTCTGCACCTCCAACCTGGAACCCGACCCGAAAGGCCCCAGTAAGTTCGAAGCACCCACGCGGCGTGTGAACCCGCTCAGAGCAGACGGAGGGGGGCGTCCTAACTGTTGTGTGTCGAGTCGGCGCCTCCATTTATTCTCGCCTTAATCGTTTAGCCACCGATTATTTATCGGTTCCTTTATTTGGCATTCTGGGTCCACCTCGGTGCCACCTCCCTAACCCCTCTGTTCCAACGGTGTTGGGAAGTTCGGTGCCGCAGAGAATTCCGATTGAGATCCGAACGGGGGCGTGGCGGAGGCGAGGGTGAAACCCCGGCGGGACAATGTTCTACTATCCCAACGTGCTTCAGCGCCACACCGGCTGCTTCGCCACCATCTGGTAAGGGCAGGGTGGTGCATGCCGGGAGGGGCACCCAGGGATCCCAGCCTGACGCCCCCGACCCACCATCCATCCACACCCCCGACCCCTCCAGGCTGGCAGCGACGCGTGGCAGCCGGCTGGTGAAGCGCGAGTACCTGAAGGTGAACGTGGTGAAGACCTGGTAAGGCCCAGGAACGGGGGGAGCGGTGGGGCCTGTGTGGGCAGGGTAGTGAGGCAACCGGATGGATCCCGTCGGCCAGGCAGTGGGGTTGGTCCTTGGCGCAGGGGTGAGCAGGGCGTTTTGTACCCCCAGCGAGGAAATCCTCGATTACGTGCTGGTGCGAGTGCAGCCCCCGCTGCCCGGGCTACCGCGGCCCCGCTTCTCCCTGTATCTCTCAGCACAGCTGCAGATCGGTGTGATCCGGGTCTACTCCCAGCAATGCCAGTACCTTGTAGGTAAGTCCGGGAAGGCTCGGGAGGTGGGGCAGAGCCAGGGGCCCTGGGCGAGGCGAGCTCTCTACCTTGCCCTCCCTGCCCACAGAGGACATCCAGCATATTCTCGAGCGCCTGCACCGTGCCCAGCTGCAGATCCGCATTGATATGGTAGAGACTGACCTGTGAGTGCACCCCTGGGACCTTGCCATTCAGCCCTTAGAGGGCAGCCTTCTCCCTGCTTGACCTCAACCCGCTGCCTCAGTACCCCACAGCCCACACTCTCTCTCAGACCCAGCCTGCTGCTTCCTGACCACCTGGCCATGATGGAGACCCTGGAAGATGCTCCAGACCCCTTTTTTGGAATGATGTCTGTGGATCCCACACTTCCCAGCCCCTTCAGTATCCCTCAGGTAGGGCTCATTCACTGCAGGGGGACTGTCGTGGGAGACCTATCCAGGCAAAGCCCACTCCACCTGTCTGTTCAAAGCCAACTTTCTTGTCCTAGTACACAGTTCCCACTGCCAAGGCTCTCAGGCCGTCAGCGTCTCTCAGCCGTGGTTTCCTTACCTTTGTCCTCCTCTATCCTGACACCTCAACAGCTTAATAACAATGCTACTGCCTGCCTTCAAAGACCCCTCCTGGGGTCCCACACTGCAAACGGAATACTAGCATTAGAGTTCTCTGTGCCCAGGCCTAGAACTAGCCACCCCCAGACATCTCTCAGCACATCCCCTGGGCATCTTTGGCTCCCAAACACTGATCTGGCCCCCACGTCCCAAAGATGCCACATTCACTTCTTTGCTTGTGCTGTTTCCCTAGCCCATGATGGTCACTCTCATTTCCTACTAGTTAAGTCTTACATATCCATTTTTTTTTTTTAACATTTTTTAATGTTTATTTTTGAGAGAGAGACAGGGTGAGTGGGGGGGGGGGGCAGAGAGAAAGGGAGACACGGAATCCGAAGCAGGCTCCAGGCTCAGAGCTGTCAGCAGAGCTGGATGTGGGGCTTGAACCCACGAGCTGTGAGATCATGACCTGAGCCAAAGTCTGATGCTTAACTGAGCCGCCCAGGTGCCCCAAGTCTTACATATCTTTAACAGACCTGGCTCAGATACTGTCCTTTTCTATGAGGCTGCATCGCTGGCCAGAACCACATGTTGTTTTGGAACTCAGCACACCGCTAACAGGCTCGTTTCGCCCTTTGTGTTGACTCTTGCTGGGATCCTATACAAACCTGTCTTCCTGTTGGGCCATAGGCTCCTTAAGATCAGGAATCTTTTCTGTTCCTCTGTTCCCCACAACACTTGACACAAGGGTGCAGTGCTTCGTGTACAGACAGACAGACAAAGAGTAGATAATGGGGGCAGCAGGGGGAGGAAAGGAGTGCATATGGTGATTGAGTATGCAGGTGTCAGTGCCACCGGGCTTCGGCATGAAGGAGCATTTTCGTCTATTGTCCGGATAAGGTTGTGTGAGTGAGAAAACAGTGGCTAGAGGCACCCGGGTGGCTCAGTCGATTGAGCATCCGACTTCAGCTCAGGTCATGATCTCACAGTTTGTGAGTTTGAGCCCCGCGTCGGGCTCTGTGCTGACAGCTCAGAGCCTGGAGCCTACTTCGGATTCTGTGTCTCCCTCTCTCTCTGACCCTCCCCTGCTCATGATCTGTCTCTCAAAAATAAATAAATGTTAAAAAAAAAAAAAAAAAAGAGTGGCTAAAGGTGGACCCTTCCTTTTGTCCCCAATCTTCCCCAAAGATTCGACACCTCCTAGAGGCTGCAACCCCAGAGAGACTTCCTGAGGAGATCCCTCCTGAAGTCCCTATGGAGCCTAAGATGCCAGGTGAGCCGAGAGAGTTCTTTTTGGGGAGAGGCATAGGAAGGCCCAAACACTGAAGAAATGACCAGCTTTGAGCTTCTCTTAAGTGCCACTCCCCGTGAGGGGTGTTTTGTGTGTGTAATCTCATCTCTGCCTCAAGAGTCCTATGAGATCGGAATATTATCCCCTTTTTACAGAGGATGAAGGTGAGACCCACAGTGGTTAAGCCGCAGAGCCAGAGTCAGATTGGCAGTGACTGGTCTGGGCCTGACCAGATCCCAGGTTGACTTGACTGTAGAGTCCATGCTTTCATCTCACCACATGGGGTGGGAACTTGGGAAGAAGCAGGGGCTGGTGTGACTTTTCCTTCCCCTCCAGACAGGGCCCTGGTCACCGTGGTGTCCCCAGAGGCCATCACCATCCAAGAGGCAGAGCCCATACGCATGCTGCAGATCGAGGTGAGTTGTACCCCTACAGCAGGGCCCGAGGCCTGCCTCTGGCGGCCCAGCCCGTCTTCTGTTTACTCACTTCTGTCTGTCCTGAACCCTGCCTTCTTGTCTCCATTTCACCACTCCCTCCCTGCTCCTAGTGCTTGAATGCCCTGTAGGCCTCCTGCTGCCTTTCAAACCTAGTTTCCTAGATCCACTTGCCTTTTTCAAACATTTATTTTTATTTTTGAGAGGGAGAGAGAAAAACAAAGCATGAGTGTGGGAGAGGTAGAGAGAGAGGGAGACACAGGATCCGAAGCAGGCTCCAGGCTCTGAGCGGTCAGCACAAATCCCCATGGGAGGCTTGAACTCACAAACCGCTAGATCATGACCTGACTCAAAGTCAGACGCTCGACTGAGCTACCCAGGTGCCCCTTGGAATTGTGTCCCCTTTCCCCCCTCCCACTCTTCCTCTTTGGACAGGGTGAACAGGACCTCCCAGAGGTCAGCCGGCGAGACTTGGACCTGCTGATCGCCGAGGAAGATGAAGCTATCTTGTTAGAAGAACGTAAAGGCAAGCCTGTCCCGCCACGTGGGGCCCGTGCGGCACTGGATGGTCAGGGCCCTGGCATGGGCAGTCTGGGCCTGGGCGGTGCTCCCGCCTCCTCTCTTCTGCGCTCTGAGCCCTGGTCTTCTCTCTGCAGAGTACAAGGAGGAGCCCCGGGCCCCGGAGGAATACATCACAGTACCCCCGCTCTCGCCCCCAGCTCTCGCACAGTAAGGGCAGGACCCCCTGGGCCAGGTAGGTGGTCAGTGCTGAGACGGGGGCCCTCATTTCTCTCACCCATTTTCCCTCAGGGTGGAAGGGGCAGCAGAGCCACTTCCGGTCCCAGCCCCTGAGGATTTGAAGCCAGTGGCCTGGGAGCCTGAGGCCCTCCTTACTGGTGAGTGCCTGTCATGCCTGGGCTTTCCTGGGAGTAGCTGTCGCACACAAGGGCCCTGGATTCCAACTTGCTGAAGGGAGGCCTTCTAGCTTCTTGCTTGGGTGGCTGCGTGGCTCTAAGGGCAAAGGGTGTGTGGCAGAGCCAGGACCTAGAGTGTTTTTGCAGAGGTGACCCCCCCGCCAGAGCTGCGTCTGCCAGCCCCTCCTAGCCCAGAGGTGAGTAGCGCCCCTTCCATGCCGCCTTCTCTCCCAAAGCTGCTCATCCATATTCGGCTTCCCCAAGCCCTGGGCCACTGCTAGCCTGCCTGGGCCTTTGTGCAAATTGGTAAAAGGTACCCCTGCTCACACTCCATTTTATGTAGCCTGCCCTTCCCTGCAGGGCCCCTTACGTGAGGTTGGAACCGCATGTCCTGAGGCCGTGCCCAGCTCTTTCCCGGGGCACCTCTGGGGTGGGGAGGTGGGGCTTACTCTGCAGCCCACCAAGGTGGCGAAAAAAGAATGGGTAGCCTTACCCCCACTTCCCCTCCAACTCGGCAGAGGAGGCCCCCAGAGGCCCCATATCTTGAGAGCCCACCTGCTCGCCGCCGCCGCCGCCGCCAGTTATTGTTCTGGGACAAGGAGACTCAGATCTCTCGGGAGAAATTCCAGGAACAACTGCAAACCAGAGCCCACTGCTGGGAGTGTGTGAGTGCAGCCTAGGCTCTGCTGGGGATGAAGCGGGGCACGGCGGGCCTGGGGCCACTCATGCTGGGCCTTCTAGACTCCTAGACAGAGAACATTCCCCAAAGTGCATGTGTTCCGGGTTTGCACACACACAATTCTCCGTTCCTTGAGTGATCCCACAGAGCACATCCATGGGCACCAGGTAGCAGTGAGTGGGGCGGCCAGGGGCATGAACCTGAATGTTGGAAGGTCAGAAGTCTTGGAACAAAGCATTGCAAAGACATGGAGGGGTGGCTCCCTCCTAACTGGGCCTCTGGCCCTCCCTGCCATGTAGCCAAAGGTGCAGCCTCCCGAGAGGACCATCAGAAGCCCCGTGGAGCTATTCCGAACCCCAACTCACTGTAAGGAGTGGCGGGAGTTGGCATGTGGGATGCTCAGAATCCATATTCCTCACTCTCACCAAGTGAGACCCCGTCCCTGCTGTCCCTCTCCCCTCCCCCCCACAGCTGCCTGGTTACCCCCAGAACTGCTGGCTTTCTGGACCCACTGTGCCCAGCCACCTCCAGAAGCACTCAGGCGAAGGCCACCCCAGGTGCCTGAAGAGGAGGCTGAGGTGGAGGTCACAGCTGAGGAGGAAAGGAGGAGGGCTGAAACTGTGAGCGATATCGAGGTAACTGCGCCCTTCCTCCATCCTCAAGAGGCTGCCTTCTCCCGCCCACGGGAGCCAGTAGGGCTGGGTCCATCCTGAGTGCACGCTGGTTCAGGGCTAGGACTGCTTCCCCCCTGCACCAGGTGCTTCTGTGACACTCCGGGTCTTAATTCTCGCTCTCCCTCCCCCAGGTCCTGAGAGAGGCCCAGGAGCCCAGCGGGCCCCTCATGCTGTCTTCAGGTAGGTGCCAGGAGTAGGGAGAGGACCACGACCCTAGCTGCGGTCCCAGAGGACTGGTATCCTGATGCTCTTATTAGAAGAGAGTGTTTAACATGAGGGACCATAGATCTCTGCACTCCAGCCCCCCCCCCACCCCCCCGGGCACTTTTAATAAGTCCCTGCACGGCCATGGCATATAGTTCAAGCAGATGGCCTCAACGTCCTGACTGCTCGGATCTAAGCAGATCCACTCAGGACCTTCACCTCCCCCCAACAGAGCTCTCTCTAGAAGCAGCCGAGGAGGAGAAGTCCCGCATCAGCCTAATCCCCTCGGAAGAACGGTGGTAAGGCCCTGGCCCATGCCAGGCATTCCCCTCATCGCTGTCACAGCTGCCCCCTTCTCTGCTCCACCTGACTGTGTGCTCTCCCAGGGCCTGGGCTGAGGCAGAGCAGCCAGAGCCCCCCGTGCTGCCTGTGGTGCCTGAACTCCCTGAAGCGCCCATGGAGCTGCCTCTCGAGCTGCCCCTGGAGCCCGAGCTGCTGTCGCTGGAGGCGGTGTATAGGTATCAGGGAGCCTGGGGGTGTCTTGGGGCGGGGGGAGAGGAGGAGCCCAGGCTGAGACTTCAGCTGCCAGCCCTTGACCCCCACAGGGCAGTGGCACAGGAGCTGCAGGCTAACAGGGAGCCCGATTTCAGCAGCCTGGTGTCCCCACTCAGCCCCCGCAGGATGGCTGCTCGGGCCTTCTATCTGCTGCTGGGTGAGCGTGGGCACATGTGGGGGGATAAGGACACACAGGCCGCCCAGGGACTCCCCCTGACTGGCCCTGTCCTTTACCCCCGAGCAGTGCTTGCGGCGCAACAGATCCTTCGCGTGGAGCAAGAGAAGCCATATGGGCGCCTCCTGCTGCTGCCGGGGCCACGATTCCACTGCGGTTAGAACAGATTCACAAAGCTGCCAGGATCCTGGTTACATTAAATACATCCTGCCTTGCACGTCTATCTCTGTGCTTTCTGCTATCAGAGCTTGGTTTTCAAGCAGAAACTAAACTGCCTTTATTAGGGTAGGAGATCAAGGCTCCGTTTGTGTTGTCTCACGGCATAACAGAGCCGGAGACGCCTCTGTAAGGCGGCGGGCAGGGCTGAGACTCCAAGTGGCTATGAGGCCCAGAATCTTTGGTAAGGCGTGAGCTGCACTGGGGCCGGCTCTGTTCTCTCTGGCCCGGCTGCAGCCTAGTCTAGGTGAGGCCCAGCACGGCCTGGAGCTCCTGAGCTTTGTCTCCAGGCAACGAACCCAGTGCAGAGTGGAAGCTGTCGGCGTGCTGTCTGGCCAAGAACGTCAGGAGCAGCAGCAGGGCGGCCTTGGTATCTGGGAGGAGAGTGCAGAGGGAGAGATCCCGGAAGGACTGGCCCCCCGCCCCTAGCTGCCCCAGGCCCTGCTCATGCCTGCCCCCCTCACCTGGTGGGATCTTATTGTCAGCCAGAGTGAGGCTACAGATACGCAGGAGCTCAGGAGCCACATCTATGACCTGTGGACAAAGAAAGGCTGACTCAGGGGTGGCAGCACCCCAGGTCCGGGGTAGGGGTAGGGACCAAAGACGGAGAGAATCTCACACCAGCGATACTTAGATGTGAATCGGTATCATGCTTAAAGACAACCGTGAAATAAGAGAAGGACCCATGAAACGTGGTAGTCATAATTTTTTTTTTTTTTTTTAAAGAGACGGGATTGTGACCAAAGAGAATTGAAGTTAAGACCAAAAGAATCTCCTGGTTTCTCTTGAGATCAAATAAATCTTTCACTTTTTTTTTTTTTTTTTTAAATAAAAGACCAAGAGAGCTCCACCAACACAACAGTCTCTAAAGGTGCAAAACAAGTGAATGACACAGGAGCACTGGAATAGGAGTCGAAACCTAGCTGGTCAGTGCAGACAAACCTCCTTCAGAAAGCTGCTCTAATTGGAAGGGACGGGGGGGTGGCCCAGGAATACCCACGCCCCATGGCACGGTCTGAAGGAGCCCTAGTGGGGGAAGTTCGCCTAGGGAAGCTGTGATTTCTGGCTCACCCCAGAGTGTGCAGATGGCCAGGCAGGGTGGAGCCTCCCTAGGAGAAAGCAGTGTGTGGGGAGAGCCCCTTCTCTCCCGTTACAAGACTGGCTGCCAGTCCTTGCAGCCTAATGACAAAGCTGAGTAAGGAAAGTCACACACAAGACAGTTAAATTGTTACTCTGTGTCAGCCACGGCCAGTCTGCCTGTGACAAGCAGCAAACTCCCGAGGGCCACCGTGTGGGAGTTACCTGGTCGGGGCTGCTCTGGTACAGGAAGCGGAAGAGGTGCCCAATGGTGACCCACTCCTCCAAGTCCTCCTTCAGTGGCAGGGCGTGCAGCAGGGCAGCCAGCACCTGGACACAAAGATGCCTCAGGCCCCTTGTTCTGCACCCCCCTCAGCTTCTCAGCCTCGTCCAATGCCCCCGGGCCTCACCTGGGGCTCCGGTTTCCTTGTGGGACTGGCCATCAGCAGGCGGGCGAGGGCCCCACAGATGTTGTCACGGACGCGATCATGGCGCTCCCGAGCCAGGAGGGGCAGCAGAAGCCCCAGCAGCTTGGGGAAGTGTCTGGTCCCACAGTCAAGGACCAGGCACGTGGGCAGACCACTCCCATCCTCGGGCCCCAGATATGCTCCCAGCCCTGCCTCAGCCCCTCCTATAAGCTAAGGATACTCCTGAGCGGGGCGGCCTCCGTGCTCTGCCAGCACACCCAGCCCAAAGATGGCATTGCTCCGCACCTCGGGGTCTGCCTCCCGGGCGGTGCTCAGCAGCACAGGGAGCAGCCGAGACACAAACTGGGCTGAGGCGGCCCCCAGGCCCTGAATGGACTCCGCCAGGGTCCCCACTGCAAAGGACTTCTCTGCCACCGTGCAGCCCTGTTTCTGCGGGGAGGAAGAGGAGTGAAGTCAGCCCGGGACATTGGGGGCTAGACACAGGGCGCATGGGTAGAAGGGGGCTCGAAGCCAGAGCACTCACCGTCTTGCAGAGCAGCAATGGCAAGAAGCCGGCAAAGAAGGGGGCGAAGGTGTCGCCCCCGGCCGCGGCTGCCAGGGCCGGGACAGCCTCTCCAGCATGCTCCAGCAGCATGGCATCATATTCAGCCTGCGGAGCCAGGGCAGGGGCTAGCGTGACAGGCCCAGCTCTGCGATATGGGTGCCCCCCCATGATGCCCCTTCCCGGCTGGCTTTGTGCGAAGCACGGCTTTCTCTCCTGGTGTACCTGCCCGCAGCTATGGATCCAGGCCCACCTGAAGCCTCACCGCCTGAGTGGGAGCAGGGCTGCATCGTTCAGAGCCACCACCTTTCAGCGGCCCTGCCCCCCCAGACCAAGCCCAGGGGCATGGTCCCTCCCTGCCCGGTGCAGACTACACGACAGCCTGATCCCACGGTTTGCACCATAGCCCTTACCTGGTCCTCTTCCTCCTCTTCCTCGTCCGTGTCCTGACAGGCTGTCTGCAGGAAGGGAACTCAGCTCAGCCCGGGCTCTCCAGCCCCTTCCCCTTTCCATGGAGGGGAGGCACGGGGAGGAGAGCTGCACTATCCCCACTTGGGGCTGAGCCATCTCACCCCACAGCCCACCGGCCCTGCTCACCTTCCGTTGCAGCACAGCCTTGAGCATGCTGCAGAGCTCAGCGAGACGCCCAGGGGGCTGCAAAGCGAGGGGCCCGCAGCCACGCAGCACCCCTGTCAGCGCCTCCAACACGGCCATAACCACTTGGCGCTCCCGCTCCACACTCACTGCCTGCATGTAGGACGGCACCACCCGGGCCAGCGCAGCCTGCAGAGCTGGGGACATTATTGGCTGAAGCCCCGGTCGGGCCCCGTCCCTCCCTCCAATCACCCCGCTTCCAGGGGCCTCAGCCTCTCCCTCTCACCTGCAGTGTTGGGTTCTGAGGGGCAGCTCTGACAGGCCTTGTACAGCGCGCAGCAGAACTGACCCAGGGCCTCATGGGCTGCCTTCCGCACATTTAGGTGAGGGCACTGCGGGGTGAGGAAGGGCAGGATGGGCCTGCTGTGTCCACGCCAACACTGGACCCCGAGCCCTCAGACTCCACCCGTTCCGTCTACCAGCCCTCTCACCTCCAGGAGCTTGAATACTTCTTCAAAGACACTCTCCATGTAAGGAAGGAAGGCCACGCTGTGGACAGACACATGGCCATTGGGGAAGGAATGCCCAGGCAGGGTTCCCAGTGCCGGGGAAGGGCTGGGGCTCACCTGGTGTTCAAGGAGATCTCCCCTAGAGCAGCACAGGTGTCTTCCTTCTCGTCGAAAAAGGCATTTTCCACGCTGTACCTAGAGTCAGGCGGGGATGCAGCAGCGATTAGACACCAGGAGGGCAGATCCGGCACTGGGCCCTTGCCGAAGCCAGGATCCCTCTGACCAGAATGGCAGCCCTCCGCACCCTGAGATCTCCGAGTCTTCCTCCTCTTCCTCATCCTTGTCCATGAGCTCCTCCTCGTCATCCTCGTCACTCTCGTCAAACAGAAGGAAGGAGGCGCTTCCATCGTACTGAGGCTGGACAGAGGAGGCACGGCAGGGACTCTGGCTCAGCTGAGCCTGGGAGATAAGTGCCAAGCCAGGGCTGCCCTTCCCCCACTGGCCCAGCCCACCGGTTCTTTGCTCACCACAATGCCTTCAGTGGAACGCAGTGACAGCAGCATGAGTGTGGTGATTTGTGGCAGGTGCGGTGCCAGGCCTTCACCCATGAGCCCCGATAAGGCTGCAAACAGGCTGTACCTGGGGAGGCAGGCAGAAGCTGTACAGACAGAACGGGGAAGCCGGCGAAGCCCAGGAAAACCCAGGATCCAGAATCAGAGAGGACAGGGTTCTCAGGCCAGGGCTGTGGATCCAGTGGGTGCGCAGAAGACATGGGGCAGGGCTGGGGGGAGGGCTCACTCACGTGCAGCGCCGCAAATCAGGGTCGTCTACCTGGTCACATAGGCCCAGCCCCAGCTGGCAGCATTCCTCAGCCAGGGGCCTCATGGGCTCCCCCACTGCTCGAGCCAGCACCCCCAGTGTCTCTGTGGGGGCAAGGACTCGGTTAACTCTCGGATGAAAAGATGGGTCAGAGGTGTGCGAGACCAAGACCTGGGGGACCAAAGACAGCAGCTGGGGGGCTATTCAGGAATCCCACTTGTTTCTAGGCACAGTGAGAAGAATGCTTCCTAGATGAGAAGAAAGAAACCTGTGTTGCCCTGGGGGAGAGCTCTGTGAACACCTCGGCCCTGTCTTGGCAGTGGGAACCCTGCCCAAGAGCCCCTTACTCACCCAGGCTCTGGATTTGCAAAGGCTGAAGGTCCTCGTGGCCAGTTAACAGGAATTCCCGCAGGAGCTCCATAATGGTGGGGAAGTAGGGCAGCAGGGAGGCCTGGGCCGCTGTGGCTGGGGGATGGAAGGACAGCATCAGCTGGAGTAAGGGCCACTGGGCCACGTGTCACAGGCTCCCTAGGGAAACCCTGTGCCCTGCCTCTTGCCTCCTTCTCCTCACCAATGGCCCCCAGGGCGCTCACTGCCAGCTCCTTGGCCCGGGAGCTGCTGGGATTCCTCAGAGGCTGCAGCATACACTCCATCAACTCCGGAAGGTACGGCTGCACTTTAGGTCCTGTGGGAAAAGGCATTCCTCTAATACCCAGGCCGGGTCTCTTACGTTCTGGGGGCCCACCTCCCTCCAGGCTGACCTCTGACATCCAGCCCAGACCTCTCTGGGCGCCTGCCACACTCCTTTCTCTGCCACAGACAGTGATGCAGGGAGTTGCACGTCCCAACCCCTTTATCCAAAGCTACAGCTCTGTCCTCTCCCACACACCTGCAATTGCCATCACCTACCTAGATTCTCCACGAAATTCTCCAGGGCATAACAGGCCTTGGCTAGGTGGTTTGTGTGCCCAGGAGGCACCGACTTCAGGTAGGCGAGGAGCAGTGGCATCACTTCCCCTGAATAGCTGCTGAT